CAACCCGCCAAGCCGGGCCAGTCGCGGCGCTGGCTTCTGCCGCTGCGCATCGGGGCAGGCTTAGGTTGGGCTCGCTTCTGCTTCCAGGCACAGCGCGCGGTCAGCGGACGAGGTAATCCGGGAACGAGGTGAAGCGGTTGTGCGAACGCAGCCAGAGGTAGCAATGCAACCACCCTGGACGTTCCTTCCTCCTGCCAGCCGTGTGTACTCCAAGTCTGTGGCAGAGCTTATACATGAGCTAAACCGTGGTTTGTTCAATTACAGATAGGTAGCGCTTGCTGCATCCTGCTAAACCTTGGTTTCTTTAAATACAGAGAGGTCAGTCTCAATTGGCTGGGTTTGCACAAACCCAACCATCATGTATAGACCCCGGTGGCTGGATCCACAAACCACATTACGGCTTAGAGTCATTGCAGCCACGGCCTCCCTTCCCGGTTCGCTCCAGACGACTCTGATTCGTGTCTTATTTTCCTTCCCCCGAAGCCAAACCCGGGTTCCAATTTTGCATTTTTCATCCCCCCAATGCAACCAGCGTTTTTTGGCTGGCTGCAACATTATAGCAAACGCACATTTTAACCCAGAATGCGTGTTTTTGGACCACGACTCCCAACTCGCTGGTTGGGAATTCTGGAAGTTGTAGTCCCACATGCCAGGAAGAAAGCAGAAGGGGGGGGGCGACTATAGGATTCTGGGCTAAGTTGCAGAATGAGAGGAGCGTAACGTTACGAGGGTTTCTTGGAGTTAGTCTTCGTAATCGCACAGCCGCGGATCTTCTCCTGGCCCCCGCCTATAGCTATCATCATCACGCTGCTCGGGCCGAGTTCACACGAGACGCTTAATCTACCCCTTCTCTGCGATTTGCGCAACAAGCCAGAACCTAAGCTAACCAAACGGGCTGCATTCACGCCCAGCAGGCTAAGCCGCCCTCCGACTAACCAAGTTTTGCAGGTTGTGCGAATGCAGCCTCCGGGTTTGCCTCGCAGCTTGTGCGAATGCAGCCCCCGGTTTCGCGCCCGATCCGGCGAAGCGGGCTGCGCGGACGAGCCCCGCGTTGGCGCTTCTGCCCTTCCAAGCTCGCCTGCAATTGTCCACGTGAGCATTCTCAGGACAGCACAGCAAGAGAGAGGAGGGAAAAAACTCATTCAAGTTGTGTGTGATTTTGTCAGTGCGTGCCCATTTTTAACAACCGACGACAGAATTGTGCGCGGAGGGAAACGTGCAGCAAGCAAGCGGGCGCAGCCGCGCGAAAGCCACGCGAGCGAAACAAACGCAGCACTTCTACCTGCGGCGGAATCAACTGAGCAACCCTCGCTGGGAAAACGTTCGCCTGGACACAACCACATTCCGGGATGGTCCCCCCCGCTCCTTGGCCGTATGGTTTCACCCAATAAAGAGGGCAAAGGAATGACGTCGAACGGCGGCCGGCAAAGGACAAAATTCATCTCATTTGTCTACGAGTGGGCGCTCAACGTGTGTTCAGAGGTGGTTCGAAAGCAGCGTGGCTCGCTGAAGCGCCCCTCACCCCGCAGGTTTCTCCCAGCCCCTGTGCCTTAGTTGCAACCGGGCAGTTGGAAAAGGAGCAGCAGTAAAAATGAAGTCTCACCTTGCTTGCTGTGGTTCAAAATCCCTCCAGCAATTTTAGTTAGCAGTTTGCTAGTTAAGAAGGGGGATGCAAGGTACTGGAATAATTTTTAAAAAAATCACAGTTGGCAAGATAAAGGGCTCCCCTGGGGATCCAGAAGCGTTTGATGAAGACCTTTCTCTTCCTTTTGTAGGGGTGTAGCAAAAGTTAGATTTTGTACTCGAAACTTTGCTGGATTCTCTTTTGTCATGGCCAAATACGTTTCCCTGGCAAAACAGAGTTTTAGCTGGCATTTTTAAGAAAAAGAATAAATGTGTTTACAGTATATAACAAAAAGAGAAAAATGTGGGATTGCAACACGTACTGCCTTGGTGCATGTACAGTCTTTCCCCATTTTTTTTCCTCGGTATTAATCACAGAAATGATGCAAGTTATGTTCAGGTTATCATGTTCATTATGTTCCTGAATAATTAGTGTTAAAAAAACCAGCCTCGATTTCTTGACTTTCTGGCTGACCCGACATTAAAATGGCGCAATTGCCCAAGTTAGGGACTCTTACATCACCCGTCCCGTGACAGTGCACAATATGAACTGTGCGGTGACTGTACATGTTACTATGCCCATCCTTGACAGGCTGTTCACTGGAGCCCCCACAGCATCCCTGGGAAAAAGGGAAGTCCACTCCTCCCTGCGCTATAGAAGAGTAGGATGAGTTGGCCTTTGTACAAGAAGCTGCCTGTAGTAACTCAGCGACCTGTAAATCGCCCTTAAAGGTTATTGGAAACTGGCCACAGTAAGTACTAATCCGTGCCTGTTGCTTTAGATTCCATTTTGGCACCCCCTCTGTCTTTGCAACCTCACGGGGGTCAAAAAAGTCAAGACAGCAGCTTCAACCACATAATCAAAGCCCCAATCCCTTTTAATCCCCCAGGCATTCCGGGGCGGTTGAGTGGGACCCCCCCTCTGAGGTTTTTTTTAATTCTGTGCTTGGTTGCCATTGTACAGTTTAGCTTTTGTATTTATATATGGATTATTTATGACGATGATGTGTTTATGTTATAGGCCGCCCAGAGTCATGCTGTCTGAGCTGGACGGTCTTACAACTCTTGGAATAAATTAATTAAATAAATAAAATGTGTCAGCATGACAGGGCAGGACTTCAACTGTGCAGTTGCAGCTGATAGTTTGACTTTTTCAATGTCCTTGCCACTTATTACCTCTGTTGTCCAGGTGCCAAGAAGTGATTAGAGGTGACCCTGGCTTCCCCTGACTTAAATTTTACACTGTGGGGAGCTGGTGGTAATAAGTGGGAAAGCACAACGGGAGCCACTATGTTTCAACATTCAGAGAAATGCAAAATCTGATGGACGGTTACATTACGTTCTACAGTACACATTATTTGTATCAGTGTATATTGGCATTCACAAACATCAAGTTCCTAGTGAAAGATTCACCTCCTCAAAAATCTCTAGAGAGAGCAGAAAATTCCACAGTCGTACAGAATAACCCATGAATTGAAGAAGCATAGCTAAAAAAATTAGACCATATAGAGTGGCTTCCTATTTATTGTGTTTTGCCTTGCTTTTCAAATGTACTTTGAAGCAGAGGCAGTTGAAAAAACAATTTGAAGAGAAACCGAGTATATGAATGAATAAACCACATAATTCATAAACTCATAACCCACCCATGTTTATTAACTGGGGTTTGATTCCAGCAATGTGAATTTTCAGGCTTCGCGTGACTTCTCATCCCGCACACAGCGCTCTCAGTTAAACTCAGTTAGCTAGTTTCTAGTTCAGAGTGTCATAGGAGTCAACCAGTAAGCTCAGCAGAATTCAGGGGGAAAAATAAATCTTCCCTGTGCAATTGTGTGAACTTGCGTGCATAGATATGTTTATTCAAAGGCGGCAGTTCCGTTGCATTTACGTGACTCTGCGCTAGAGTTCTATGGCAGATGGTTTAAGTCAATGCTGTCAGAATAATTTATGATTGCATCACCGCATTAAAAAGTCACAATGTTAACCCTTGCTCTTACCACCAGAAAAAAGATTTTCTAACTGCCAAGGAAAGATGGGAGGATAATATTGCTGAATTGCTCTTGATTTTCAGGGATTGGCCTTGTTACGTTTGCTGGAAAGAACTGGTAGATCTGAAGAAGCGACTCTAGGAGGTGAAAGCTGCTAGGATGAGCCAGCTCATGCTGAGGCTGTTTTTCTTACAATATCTCGCTCGTCCTTCAGCTTGTAGACGCTATTGGTTGAAGCTGGGTATAAATAAAAGTTAATGTGCCATGGTTTCCTGTTGATCTAGCCAACCGCCTTTGATCCACAGCAGGTCCAACCCTACCTCTGGCCTACAATCTGTTCCTTTGAACCACAAAATATCTGCAAACTATGATGAACGAAGCTGCTCTCTTTTCCCTGTTAACGGAGGTTCAGCATTTTTAGGCGTGGAGAGAAGCAGAGATGGAAAGGTCTGGTGGTGTAGCTGGGCATGAAAAAAGTGGAGCTTTTCTGCAATCCCACCCCCCCTCAACCCAGAACCACAAAGTAAACTAGTGTTTCTCAACCTTGGCAACTTGAAGATGGTGGACTGCAACTCCCAGAATTCCCCACCCAAACCTTGGCAACTTGAAGATGGGTGGACTGCAACTCCCAGAATTCCCCACCCAAACCTTGGCAACTTGAAGATGGGTGGACTGCAACTCCCAGAATTCCCCACCCAAACCTTGGCAACTTGAAGATGGGTGGACTGCAACTCCCAGAATTCCCCACCCAGCCTTGCTGGCTGGGGAATTCTGGGAGTTGCAGTCCACCCATCTTCAAGTTGCCAAGGTTGAGAAGCACTGAATCAATTCCCCCTTGGACTCGTAACTCACTAGATTACTTTGGGCTACAATGGTCGTCTTTCTTAGTGGAACCTACCTTAGCATCCACCTTGGGAGAATCAGATGGAGGGGGCCCACCTGC